AAAAAAAAAAAAAAAAAAAAAACTTTCCTTTCGCAAAGAAAGTAGGGACTCCCCTTGACCAAAACAGGCTTTAGGGTGAAGGCCCTGGTGTGCACTTTGGGGAGGTGAGACTGGGTATATGAGTGAGGGGAGGGAGCACACTGCTTATCCAGCCTGGCAGGAAAAGAGGGCGGGCAGAGTGGGAGAAAGGACTCTAGGGAGCAAGTGGGAAAGTTAGGCCAGGGCGAGCTGAAGAGCACGGACATGTGGAAGAGCGTGGGCAAGCAAAGCAGCTTCCCCTTGCCTCTTCCAACCTCCTTTGTATTCCAAGAGTTCTCCTTTCTTTCCATCCTCTTTGGAAGGTTCTGTGGGAAATGACTGAGAAGAAATGAAAGGCGACTGCAGGGCAATAAGCGGAAAGGAGTAAGGGGAGGCGGTCGCCAGTAAGACGCAGGCTGGAAGCGATGCAGTCCTTTATTTGGAGGTAAGCGGTGGGGTTCTCACGGGTGAAATGCACAAATCAGAACTCTGTGCATGTGACTCAGGCATAGGCCCAAGTAAAGAGAAAACAATGCTTACTGTCCCTATCTTGGGAGAACAATTAACAAATTAAACGAACTAGATTAGGGTCCTTGTGAATGCTTCTGTTATTAAGAATAATCTCGTAAGAAAAAAGAGCATACTCAATAGAATTTACTGCACCCCTAACTGCAGTTTACTAGGGATAATGTTTTCATCAAAGACACTGGAATCCAGAGTAAATATCCTGTGCCCACATTTTTTAGGAATTCACGCATATCAAATTCTGTTGCAGAAATCCAGGTTCTGTCACCCATTTCATGCAAGGTAGCATACTTCAAGCAGGTGTGCATCTTTCAAACAGAATCATAACCAGAACTAATTCACCAATCTATCTTTCTTACTATTTGCTACAGACATCAACTGGTGGTCATCATTTAGCTGTAACAGAAAAACATTTAGCTGTAACATGAAAAATGTATGCATTTGTCTACTTTAAGCTATAGAGACTATCACTTTTATAAATCATCAATTTGACATGCATTGAAAATCAAAAATTCAAACAAAAATATTAATCATTTTAAACAATGTCTAGGAAAAGACCCTCTTCCCACAAATTACATGAATGATGAACTTAACCTCACATTCTTCAAATACTGAACAATTAGAATTTTTTTCTTGTGAGTCTTTTTTTTTTTCTAAAGGACTATTTACTGTTGGGCAAAAACAATGTGAGAGAAAATGGTGAGAGTTGAGGAGAGTCTCTCTGGGGCTCTGGACTACAAGTGAAAAAAGCTACTTTTTCTGCCAGCCATTTCTTCACTGGCAGAACTCACCCACTGGAAGCTCTTGTTTATGTGGGGTCCAAATGGGAAGAATGGCAGCCTGGGGTGTTGAACAGAGACCCAGTCTGAGTCTAACTATTTCCCCTGTCTCACTGGCATATTTAAGACTGATGTCTCAACCGTGTTTTCAATCTATTTTTTCATTCATGAAATAAAGAATGCTTCCTACAGAATAGATATTCTGAAAATTCCACAAGGGTTTCAAAAGCTATATGGAACATGGTGGTCTGAATATCCATTTTCATAAGACTTGTTTCTCATCTTCATGCAAGTATTTGCTAACCATGCTCAAGTAAACTTTTTTGGGGGGGACACAGAGTCTCACTTTGTCACCCTTAGTAGAGTGCAGTGGCATCATAGCTCACAGCAACCTCAAACTCTTGGGTTCAAGCAATCCTTTTGCCTCAGCCTCCCTCGTACCTGGGACTACAGGCACCCACCCCAACACCTGGCTATTTTTAGAGACGAGGTCTCACTCTGGCTCAGGCTGGCCTTGAACTCATGAGCTCAGGTGATCCACCTGCCTCAGCTTCTCAGAGTGCTAGGATTACACCTAGCCCTGGACCACACCTGGCCCTCAAGTAAACTTTGACACAAGTTAAAATGTTACATAGCCCAACACGGCATCTTCTCATCTCCTTTGAAAGCCTCAGGGGCAGTCAGGGTGAAGCTGGCTATTTCAAACACTGAGCTATCAGAAGCAAATTAGGACAGGGGAAGTAGTTTTGGTAAAGATTTATACAACAGTGCTTAGAATCTTCTAATCTGACAGGAAACATTTTCATGGATTTCAACCAAAGAACATGTAACAAGAAAATGAGAAAATAAGAACATGTTGTGTCTAATCCTCCATATCTTAGGACACCTTCTCAGTCTCTTCATTTCTGACAATGATCCAAAGAAACGATTATCTTTGCCTTCAAATGTAAAGGGTGTCTAATTCACATACATTAGATAATTCATCTCATAAGTAAAATGCCATCCAAATCTCTAAGACACACTATAGGAAACAAAAAAGGGCAGTGTTATTTATTCCTACCTTCAAAATAGTATTTGTATTACCTGTGTACTAATGACTTCCATTGGTCTTTTCTTGATTTCTCCTATGTCCAAGTAACTGAGGGGAAAAAAAAAACACACAAACAATAAGGGTTGCTTTTGGGTTTTAATTGAGGAAAAATTATTTAAAAAGTAAAGCAAGTCAAAGGAAATACTTAAGCCTAAAGCAAAAATCAATAGTTACTAATTAAAAGCAATTATGGCAGTTCAGAACTGTGAACCAGAGCTGACATATGTCTACCCTAAACATCAACCAGAGCTGACAAATGTCTACCCTAAACATCAAAAAACTGGAAGTCTTAGAAATACATGTTTTCATGAGGGAGTATTTTCAGTTTTAATAGTTAGCTACTTACTTTAGATATGGTATTTCTAATTTTTATATGAATTGGTTTAAGAGTGGCTAATGTGAAAGTTTCTTTAAGAGTCCCACTAATCATGGACTTCATTAGGAAGTGCTGACTGTACACAGTAAGGAAACAATTGGGGAAGGCAGAGACATCATTTTCTCTATGAGAGCACTTTGATCATACAGAAATGCTCAGTCATGTGGGCTGGTTTAGATATTAGTTCAGCTAATAGATAGATGGGTGCATTAGTTAAGCTCCGGAGATGCCTAGTATTCCATTACTAATTGCTACAGATATTAACTAGCAATCATTCTTTAGCATAACCACAACCTAAAAACTTTATTCTTTTGTCAACTTCAAGTTCCAAGTCCATCACTGTGATCTGGTTCTAGTTTTAAGCATGATTCAGACATAGAAGGTGCTAAATAAACATTTTAATATAAAAAATATAAATCTAGGCTCGGCACCCTTAGCACAGTGGTTATGGCTCCAGCCATATACCCCGAAGGTGGCGGGTTTGAACCTGACCTGGGCCAGCTAACCAACAATGACAACTGCAACAAAAGTCGTTGTGGTGGGCACCTGTAGTCCCAGCTACTTGGGAGGCTGAGGCGAGAGAATCACTTAAGCCCAAGAGTTTGAGCTTGCTGTAAGCTGTTAACGCCATGGCACTCTACTGAGGGCAACATCATGAAACTCTGTCTCAAAAAAATATATATATGTAAATCTAGCATTTAATTATATTTATATTTATATTTATAACAATATAAAGATAGTCTTTGACCTCAACTATTATAATTGCTAAGTTGCTAAAAAAAAAAAGTTGATATTAGAATTAATTTAGGCTACTGTTTGGTTTTTTGGATAGAATACTTTAGTTAATTGATACCTCTGGAAATTATTATATATTTCCCCTATGTAAACTGTAGTTATATAAGACAACACAAACACTTCTATCTTAGCAATAAAATGGGTTTTCTGTGACTCTGCAGGGATTGATTTTTGACTTACTATCAAAATATTCTGTCCTGTGCACGAAAGTGACCTCAGATCTACAAGATTAATGTCATAGAGTCACCTTTCAAAAATGCACAAGGAAAGTTTGGGAGAAAATTATCTCTGGAATGCTCTGCTTTTCTTCTTCATTCCATAAAATGAAGGTTTAATAGCTAACTGAAGTTTAGTTATTATTTCAAAAATATTAGAAAAACGTAAGTAAACGCAATTCTAGCAAAAATTTTATCAGCTCCATTTGAAAAACATTTTGCTCTCTTTCCCAACATCATTTAGGGGCTAAGCAAAAGCCCATGAATCACCTTCCATACCTTTTGGGCTTTCTTTTGTTCTGCCAGTTGCTTCATTTTATATAACTTACAAGTACTGGGCTTCAAATATATTCAGCATTTAAATATTCTTGGCTTCTATCATTATAACCATAGATACTACTACTGAACACAAATAAAAAAAGATTAGTCATCTATCCGCATGGAAGACTAACCATGGACACAACAAACTCAGGAGTTTTTGTGTACAAATTAAAAGAAAAATAACCATGCAAATCCCTTATTTATAAAGAGCGATTTGAAGTGCACTTTCTAGTTGGTTTGGAATTGCATCTTTTTTTTATTTTGTGACTTGCTAGGGCCAAATAAATGAAGAGAACATGGATTACTGAAGTGAGTCTACAGTTTTCAGCTGCTCCCATTCACATGAAATTCTTCTATGTAGAAATTAGTTAAATAAACATGTAATGAAAAGAACTAGTTGTAGAAATGCCTTACATGTACATAACACTTTGGTCTTTACACATTTACATCTACAGCATTTACTTTGTATAACAACCCTTCAGAGTAGGAATGGCTCTGTATTAGGAAGCTGACCACCTGAGTCAAGTGACTTGCCCAAGGACACGGCCCTAATAAACAGCTCAGTCTCATCTCCAGGTTTTAAGATCTAAGTTTCTTTTAAGCACACAATTTCATTTAGCACATTTCTATGAAATTAACAAAATATATTTAAAGATGTTTTCAGGAAAGGGAAAAATAAATCCAAATGTATTCCTCACCTTCCAAAGAAAGAATGACATAAAAACAGAACACCTAGAACTCAATTTAAACAAACTTAAGAGAAGAAGGATGGTACTTAAGAACTTTAATGATAACTTTGAAAATTATTTCTACAATGGGTAGAATTGATATTATGTGAAATGCATTTCAATACAGTTGTAAAAAAAAACTATGGAATAGAAAATTCTACCTGCTCTATAATGCCCATCCCCACCAACTCTCAACTCTCACATAACTCTCACTATTTCTTTAATTGCACACATCTTTGTTTTAAAAGTATTGACGTGCACATAGTCTCTCTCCTGTTAGATGGGAAGCTCGGAAGACAAGGACTCATGTCTTGTTCATCTTTGTCCCCTTCGCAGACCTAAGCACAATTTGCTAATTCACAGAACATCTACTATGAGTAAGCTCCCCTTCCAGGAGCTGGGGATAAGGATCCTTGTTCTTTTTTTTTTTTTCAATTTTTGGCCAGGGCTGGGTTTGAACCCACCACCTCTGGCATATGGGGCCGGTGCCCTACTCCTTTGAGCCACAGGCGCCGCCCAGGACCCTTGTTCTTGAAGGTCTAACCATCCCGCTGCTGGAGGCAGACCTGTAGACGAATCCAGGCTGCCAGTAAACTTTTCCAGGCATGATGCTAATAGCATAAATATGCAGGGGGTGGGAGGAGGGTTACTTGGAATGGAAGGTTGAAAGAAATTAAACAGTGGAAGGTGGGGGGGGTGCAAAGCAATTTTCTCCTCTGGTAACCATATAGTGTTCAAAACTTAGAATTGATTTTTAAGAAATCTCCATTTAAACTAAAAGGATGGATTCCAAGGAAAAGGTAAGGGAGAAGAAGAAAGAAGAAAGAAAAGAAAAACAGAAAATGCAAAAGTATCCATTTGGCCACTGACCTTACAAGAATACTTTTTAAAAGATTTCTGTTGTTTATGCCCAAATGTTAAACTTATTCTTACTGCTACACACATGAAATTCCTTCTGCAGTCAGTGTCAACCTCTGCCCACAAATGCACTGGAAGTTTGAGAAGCCTCACAGCCCCTCAGCCGAGTTTCCTCATACCAACCCCACACTGCAGTGCACTCTGACATGGTGGGCACAGGAGGCAGAGCGACTCACTTGAGTTTCTTGAAGGCTTCCTGGCCTCCAGCCACGTAGTTGCCCCCGCTCTGAATCTGGTCTAGCTGTCGAATGCGGTGGCCGGTCCGCGGGGTGTAGATGTTCCTGACCGCCCCAAAAGGCGCCTGAACACCGCCGGTCACCTCCTTCAGGAAGACGTCGAAGCTGGACACCTTCTTCTCATGGAAGACCACGCGGCGCCCGGCGAAGAAGGGGTCCCCGTTGCGGTACACCAGCACGCTCTTGACGACAGGCTGAGACAGGTGGCTGGACCTGGCGCTGGTGCCGTTCATCTTCCCCGCGGGACACAGCCCCAGCTGGCTTCTCAGGAGGCACCTCCGCTACCCCAGCGACCTCACCGCACACCTGCGTGGGATCACCTCCTGAAAGAAATGAGAAGCTACCAGATCCACGGGTAAAAGAGAAGTAACGGCTGCGCGCCCGGCGTCCACCCGCGGAGACTGCAGGACGCACAACAGAGGTTCAAGTACTTCACCGTGGTCCGCACAACCAATCAGCGCTGGCAGTGCGCGCGCACCTGCTTCACAGGCCACCTGCAGAATCAAAATGTACCACCTCGCAGCAGGGGCCGCGCGGGGGGCTTTCAACAGGCAGGCTGAGTTAGGGCAGAAGGCAGCGAGGTGGGAGAACCCTCACACACACACTCACACTCACACACACACGCACACACAGATTACAAATACAGTGGGTCCCAGTTTCTAACATCCTACCTGTGCTACTCTTTCCAAAAGCTTTATTTTCTCTCTTTTTGCACTTTTACCCCTCAATCTCTTGCTAGCTCCCAAACTAAAAGCAGGGAAGTTCCTGACTGTGTGTCCAGGACCCCCTGTCCCCTCCCCGATGACCAGAGCCCCCGGGTGGCTAAGCTTGGATGGGCATCATCTGAGCACACCCTGCAGTGGCGCGCCAGAGTCCCGGAGGGATAGGGCAGTCGGTGGGTCCCCGGGGAGGCGCCGCCACAGTGGTACCTACCCGCACTCGCGGGCTGGTGGCGGGAGTGAGAGGCGGCGGCGCCGGCGGCCGGGCGGGGGCGGAGGAGGGCGCGGGGCGGACACCGCGGTGAACTCGGCGGCGGTCGCGCGTCGCTAGCGCTGTTCCTCCCGCTGCCGTTGCCTCTGCGGGCCTCTCTCCCCCGTGGGGAACCGAGTTGTTATTTCCCGCCGTTTCCATAGCAACCGCAGCCTCGCGCGACGGCTCCAGTCGGTGAACCCCGCCTGGCGCGCTCCTGGCTCCTCTGGGCTTTGCTGCCGCCTCCCGCGGAGGCGCAGAAGTGAGCGGCTTGCGGGATGAAGAGGAAGCCTAGATGGCTTTATCATGCGGTCGTTCAACAAATGGACGCTTACTGTAGGCCGGGCGCTGTGCTAGGAGTTGGGTTACCGCTGGGAAGAGGGTAACCTGGTTGCACGCGGGGCGGCGGGGCGGGGAGCATGTCATTGGCACAGGAGGTTAAAAAGCTAACTTGACTGTGTCCGAGAGCCCGCATCCGTGCTGTTTGCGTGGATTAGCTCAGTCTATGGAGTAAGATAGGGGAGAGGAGTTTTGAAAATTAAGAACCTCAGTAAAGATTCTCTTTGTCCAATCTGTGTGGCACATACATATTGTGGTACTGGGAATATTCTCTTTAAAACGTTGAAATCTTGCGGTTTATCGCTGCCAGCTTTCCCTTTATTCCTCCTAATGCCTTACTACTATGTGGCATATCCAAGGTTCATTCCTAGGTGCCTAGGAATTCATAATCCATCATATATGAATAAAAATAGTAACTGCTATTCATCGAACACTAATAACCATATACCAGGCATGATATTAGGGACTTTAAGTAGATTACTTAATTTAATGCTCACAGTAACCTTCAAAGGTAAATATTCTTTGCTCGGATGAGGAAACTGAAGTGAAGAAAAACCAAAGAAAGTTACTTCAGGTCACACACATGAGTTCAAACCCAGGCCTGTCTTATTCCAGAACCACCTTAACGGCTATGCCATAACAATGTACAATCTGGGCAGAAATATTTTTATTGAAGTCACACAATACATTAATGCCTTGCAAGTTAACAGTTTCCGTTTTCAAAAGGAGGCCAAAGAGAAGAGAACAATACAGAGAGAAAATAGAAGAAATTTTGTGAGCTGGTTGTGGAGAATATACAGATTGAGGGATGGATGTACAAAATATCTCTGAAAATGTGCTGCCAGGCAAATAAGACAGAATACCAGATTTGAAGAATGGAAGACAATAAATTAAGCAACCCCACTCCCCAAACAGCCTAAAACTCCCTATCACTAGTGCTAGCCCAGTGCAAAATGACAATGTGTAGCCCCTTGTTCAAAAATTAAGAATTTCAAGATGGCAGATGGGCACAGTGGTTCACACCTATAATCCTTGCTCTCTGGGAGGTCAAGATGGGTGGATTGCCTGAGCTCAGGAGTTGGAGACCAGCCTGAGCTAGAGTGAGACCCTCATCTCTAAAAATAGCAGGGTATTGTGGGAGGCAATTGTAGTTCAGCTAAGTGGGAGGCTGAGGCAAGAGAATCGCTTGAGCCCAAGAGTTTGAGGTTGCTGTGAGCTCTGACAGCACAGCACTCTACCAAGGGGCAACAAAGTGAGATTCTGTTTCCAAAAAAAAATGGCAACAGCAGAGCATTAAATGGAGAAGAGTCCTTCTAGGTATGGGACCCTGTCACCAGCCAATGAAGTCACCCTGTAACTATATTCTAATGCCTCCTACAATGGTGGTCCAGCCCAGATCTGTCTCCTGAGCATGAACTCATTTATCCAGCTGCTTCTTGGACATAATGTGGTGATAAATGTTTAACAGCAGGCTCTCAGGGGCAATGGAAGCCCCTGACAGCCCCCTCACAGCATTTGCCAGTCTCTGTAGTACTCCAAATATGCCAGTTTCCAGTTACCAATCTGACATCACTGAAGGCCAGAACTGCACAGTAGAAGTTTGTATGGTATTTCCACCAACAGAGGCAATAGACGTAACTTTCAGAGCACAGGTAGTAGTAAAATGTAGGCAATAATGAGTTTCAAGTATTTATTACCTTTGTTTTCAGTGTAACTTATTTAATTGTATGCTTATCCAATTAATTATTAATAATGACCACATTTAAAATTCCAGTTGACGCTCACAAATGACTTGTCACAAGCCAGTACAAGGCAGCTCCCAGCCCGCTATTCTTTTTTCTTTTTTTCTTTTTTTTTTTCTTTTTTTTGCAGTTTTTTGGCTGGGGCTGGGTTTGAACCTGCCATCCTCGGCATATGGGGCCGGCACCCTACTCCTTGAGCCACAGGCGCTGCCCCCAGCCAGCTATTCTTGAGGGCAGCTTCTCTAGACTATCTGAAAGTCAGCCTAGATTCAAAATAGTCACATGACCTCATGTTTTCCTCAGAACCTCTTTTCCTGTGTTCCCCTCTTCTACTCATTTGTCTCAGAGCTGGAGCACACACATTTCTCTTCCTTGCTGAACACATACAACTGTGGCAGAGAAACAATAAAAGCAATCATACATTTGCCGTCTCTCGCCCTGCTCCTTTGCTTGCTGAATTGATTTTGGAGTTCTTCTCTCTTCTGCAGAATCCCAACACTGAGTAAAGGAAGAAGGTTGTAAGAAGCTTATCAAGGTTAGATAAACCCTGATCCTGAAGAGTGGAGGTAGAATGAGGAGGCTGGAGAACGTTTGAGAACACACAGAAAAAGGGAGGGGAGAGTATTGTTTTTATGCTTCTTCCGAAGTATGTGAAAGGTATTGAGAATGAGAGAGATGACCAAACAGGATTCTTAAAGTTTTGCTGTGCATTAAAAGTAATACCACCAGCCAGGCATGGTGGCACATGCCTGTAATGCTAGCACTGTGGAAGGCTGAAGCAGGAGGGTTGGTTGACGCCAGGAGTTCAAGACCATCCTGACCAAAATAATGAGCCCCTGCTCTACAAAAACATTTTAAATAATTAACTGGCTGTGGTGGCATGTTCCTATAGTCCCAGTTACTCAGGAGGCTGACATAACAGGATAGCTTGAACCCAAGAGTTCAAGGTTGCAATGAGCTATGATGGCCCCCTTCTCTCTAGCCTGGGTAACAGAGCGAGACCCTGTCTCAAGTAAGAATAATAATACCAACAAAGCACTTGGCATTTCCTCAAGACCCTAACTCACTGAAATGCTTTCAATTATAGATTTCTGGTGAAATAATAATTACTTTGATATAATACTTTACTAAAATGAGACTACATCACACCCTGGGTTTATAAGCGTTCTTCAGCCAGTCACCAAGTTCTGTCATTTTGTCAATTCTTTCTCTCACATATTTCTTACCTTTGCTTATCCTCAACCCGGTTTCCGCTTTTGAATTCCAGGCATCATCATCCTCCCCTAAAGGTCACCCTGCCCTCAGTTTTACTTCCTCACTCTCCACTCTCTACAGAACAGCCAGCCTGAAAGATTGTTCAAAAACAAATCTATTCATTTCATTTTCTAGCTTTAAACCATTCAAATGCTTATCACTTTTTCCAAAGATGAAATCCAGTATTATCAACATTGATTACAAAGCCCTGAGTATACTGCTCTTTTTGCCTTAATTCCCATCTCTTTTCACACAGCTCTCCTTGTGGCTGTCCAAAATCAAGACTTCTCCTTCAACTTCCTTGAGTATCCCTTTGAACATACTTGGTGGCCTTTTGTTCCCCATAGCCATTTATTTGGCTTTTTCCAACTGATACTATAAGTCCCAACTTAAATTTCATTTCCCACAAGATGGGGCAGGAAAAATTAAAATTAAAAATTATGGCCAGATGCTGCGGCATGTACCTGTAGTCCCAGCAACTTGGGAGGCTGAAATAGGAGGATCACTTGAGTCCAGGAGTTCTGAGTTGTAGTGCACTATGCTGATTGGATGTCCGCACTAAGTTCGGCATCAATATGGTGACCTCTCGGGAGTGGGGGTGCCACCAGCTTGCCGGAGGGGTGAACCAGCCCAGGTAGGAAATGGAGCAGGTCAAAACTCCCATGCTGATCAGTAGTGGGATGGTGCCTGTGAATAGCCACTGCATTCCAGCCTGGGCAACATAGTAAAACCCTGTCTCTAAAAAAAAAATCTGTGTTATTTCCCCAGGGAATATTTTCTACCAAACTCCCCAAATCCGGATTAGCCTCCTGCAGATTACACATTTTTCTTCCCTAGGTTTTGTCAGTTGTAATTATAAATCTTTGTATGGTTATACGTTTAATTATAAATATATATGTTTAATATTTGTTACATGTTTATATGTATAAAGTCCCTAAGGGAAGGGATTGTGTCCATTTTATTCAACAACATCTTACCAGTTGTAAGATGTTAATACTAATTACTAAATAAATGCTAAATAATTATTTCATGAAGGAATAATAAATGAAAAATATATTACATTTAAAAATAAAGGAAAATGGCTAGATGTGGTAGCTCACACCAGTAACTCTAGTACTTCAGGGGCCTAAGATGGGAAGATCCCTTGAGCCCAGGAGTTTAAGATCAGCATAAGCAACATTGCAAGACCCCATCTCTACAAAAAATAGA